AGCCTAGCCAGCTCTCAATTCATCCACATGCATTCTCTTCCTCAAGAGAGCCATCAGACTGTGCCACACAGAGGGAGTGCTTGAGGTACAGCTCAGTTCAGTTCAGTTCAGTTGCTCAGTGTGTCCGACTCTTTGCGACCCCATGAATTGCAACACGCCAGGCCTCCTTGTCCATCACCAACTCCCGGAGTTTACTCAAACTCATGCCCATCGAGTCGGTGATGCCATCCAGCCATCTCATCCTCTGTCGTCCCCTTCTCCTCCTGCCCCCAATCCCTCCCNGCAATCTTGATTCCAGCTTGTGCTTCATCCAGCCCAGCATTTCTCATGATGTACTCTGCATATAAGTTAAATAAGCAGGGTGACAATATTCAGCCTTGATGTACTACTTTTCCTATTTGGAACCACAACTTGAGGTACACTTCCCACTTAATATATTCCCACAGATTATTACAAATCTATTTAAGAGTAGGTATTTATGAATGTAACAGATTCTACTGCTTCAGCAAAAGCATTCTTAAGTGAATCTGCCTTGTCTTTTTTTTAATTGCAAGCATGCAGCAGTGAAGAACAGAAGGACAACTAGTTGGCTTTGGTATCACTGCTTTGATTCATGGTGAGCTGATGGAAGTTTTACCACTGTTGCTTTTGCAGTATCAGTTGCAAATAACAACACACAGAAAAGGCAAAAAACATCTTCGTTTTATAAACTATTACACACATAGTTTACTATGTTATAAACTAATATAAAAATAGTTCTAACCTCACAGACCTCCCTGAAAGTGCCTCAGGAACATCCAGAGATCTGCAGACCACATTTGAGAATCACTGCCCCAAACAGACTTTATGGATTTTCATCACTGCTTAGAAACCACAAAAATTTATAAATTCCCCCAAACCTGTACTGTCTCTAACATAAAATCAAGTTTAGATGTGGACTCAGTGGAGCCCGGCGAGCTGCAGTCCATGAGGTTGCAATTTAGCGGCTGAATAACAACCATGGAAAGCCTTCAATCAAGGCTCACAACGATGAGACGACTGTATGTTACCAATCTAAGCACAAGCAAAGAGGGGCTTCTGCTGAACTGACTCCCCCTTTGCAAAGGCTGCAGGAGCACTTCTCCTGCTTAAAGAGAATGGCCATCTAAAAAATTAAGTCCCTTTCCAAATTCTAGATCCCATGCATAGGAGCTAATGCACAGAATTTCAGTATACTGAGAAAGGAGAGGGGAAAAAAAATTGTTTCCATCTAATTTGATCATTTCTTCTTTTCATTCAATGATTATATTTTTCAGTTCTAAAACCTCTATTTAGCTTTTTTTTCCCCTAAATTCACCTATTCCTTTTATAATCTTGTCTCATTCTCTTCCATCCTTCACATCTTTGAACAGTTCATATCTTGGGCTGCAAAGCCTGCTCTCTTCTGAGGCTGTTTCCTCATTTGGTTTATGGTATTTGCCTCTGTGCTAACTTTACCAGCAGTTATTTTCCGTGGGAGTCCTGCATTTCCTAAGTTAATCTCTATGAGACAAATTTGGCTTTGTCTCTGTTCCAGCTTTGTGATGTCAAGACCAGTTTCAAAGTTCATTTCTCAAGGTTTCTGCATTTCATCGTCAGTGCCAGTTTGGACCCTGCAATTGCCAAAAGCATCCATCTGAGGAACTTACTTGTCTTGGGTTACTCTTTTTCCAGCTACACTCAGGGCAGGCAGCAAGCAGGTTCCTGGCTGGTCCCCAGAGACCCTTCTGAAACCCCAAGCTAGGGGATAATTGTATTCTGCATTAGAGAAACAGGGAAGACTAGACTGGAATCCTACCCTACTGTGTACAAATTATATCAGAGCATCAAATTCACTCTCTCTCCTGGGTCATTTTCATCAGTATATAATACATTATCGTCGCTCTCATCTCAAAAAAACTTGTCTTGATCCTACTTCTACCAACCTCACACTATTCCTCTACTTCCCTTTACATGAAAATGCCTCAAAAGAATCATCTTTACTTGCGTACTCCAATCTCTCTCCCCCCATGTTATCATAAAACCACTCTAAACATGTTCTTTCCCCATTACCTTCGAAAGTTACTCCTGTCAAACTATGAAGCACTGGTGATGTCCACATTTACAAATCATCCAATTGCCAGTTCTCTGTTCTCATCTCCATCTATGGAGCTCTTGGCACAGGTGATCACTCCATTCTCCTTGACACACTTTCTTCATGTGGATTTCCAGATTTCATAATCTCTTGGTTTTCTTTTCTCTTTTTTTTTTTTTACTAGTCATTTCTTCTCAGTTTCCTTGGCTGGTTACTCATTTTCTCCCCAGTCTTTTACCATGCCCAACCCTCAGTCCTTGGTCTTTTTCTTTCATTCATCTACTCACACTCCCTAAGGAATCTCATTCATCATAAAGGCTTTAAAGGACTTCCCTGGTGGTCCAGTAACTTAGAATCTGCCACACTGCCAATGCAGGGGGCCCAGGTTCAATCCCTGGTCAGGGAACTGGATCCTACATGCCCCATGCCACAACTAAGACCTGGGGCAGTCAAACAAATACATATTTTAAAAAACAGAGGCTTTAAATACTATCTATATTCTAAAGGCTCCAAGAATATTTGACATTGCCAATTGTACCTCAAAGGGACATCTCAATCTAAACACGTACAAAATATAACTTCAGATCTCTCCCTTAAATAACCTGTACTTCTGCAGTCTTCCCCATTTTGGTGAGGGACAATTTCTTTTGAAACTCCTCTCTTTCTCTCACTACTCTACAGCTAATGCATCAGCAGATTCTAACGGCTCTACTTTCAAAATATACCCAGAATCCAATGACTTCTCAGTACCCTCAGTGCTACCACCCTTTTCAGAACCACTAACATCTTTCTTCTTATTATAACAGCTTCCCTAGCTGATCTCTCTGCTTTCAAACCCTTTCTCTCCTGCAATCAATTCTCCACCTAACAACTGGAGTCATCCCTTGGAAGTGAAAATCAGATCATGTCATTCTTCTGCTCAAAACACTATGACTCCCTAGCTCCCTCAGAGGAAAAGCCAGAGTCTTCACCCTGGCCACAAAACCCTTTATGATCTGCCTTCCCCCACCAAGGACATCTGTGAGGACCTCTGAAAACTCTCACTTGCTGCATTCTAGCCACAAGAGGCCCTGTGCTATCCCTCAGACAGCCTACAACACTCTGTCTACAGGTGTTTGCATGGGAAACCCCCATGTTTATTTGTTCAGATGTCACCTCATCAATAAAGTCTAACCTGACCACCCCAGATTTGGCTATATGTCAGCACTGATGCCAGCACATCAAGAAGACTATGCAGAGATTGACTACTTCCATAGGGAAACTATCCAGGAAGGGCACAGCAGCCTCCCAAACAGGTGAAAACGTCTAAAGAGAAAAGAGAAAGGCAACTGCCTGGGCTTTATGGTGGTTAACAGGCGGGGCTGGGTTAAGGCCTCCCAGGTGTGGGTCAGCGTCTGTGCGGCTTAAACTCCCCACCAGCACCAAAGGAGGGAGCAACTAGGCTTTCTTCTCTGCTTGTCTGGGCATGGGGCAGGAGGAGGGGGAGTGGGAGCAGTCAGTTAATGAACATCTAAATGGAGTCATTCTCTTTACTACAACAGCACAATTTTAAAAGGATAACCTTCCTTTTCCTCCTGCCTTCAGATATTCTCTGTAACACTTATTTTTGGCTACACTATACAGTTTACCTAACTGTTAGGTTTACAGTTTATTGTCAGCCTGTTTATCTGCTATTAGATTATAAACTCCATGAGGGTAGGATTTTTGTCAATATTGTTATGTATTTTTTGCCTACTGGGATACAGAACTTAGGACTGTGCCTAGCATATTGTAGATGCCCCTAAATTATTTTGTGAATGAATGAATGAATGAATGTTAATATAAGAAATTTGCTCATTATTCAAAACATCACTTTTGAAAGTATACTCATGACAAAGGTGATGATCATAACTGATATGGGAAGCTCTTTAAAGTATATTTCTATATTATTCAATATTAAAAAATCATTGAGAAGTATTTTAACTACTCAAGTGTTTATATGTCTATGAGCTTTTGAATACAGAAACTATATTCTATTCATCTTTGTATCCTCAGTGTCTAGAACAGAGCCCAAGAAAGAGGTACTCAGCAGATGAAAGAAAGTGAAAAGTGATCTAACCTAGGTCTCCCACACAGCAGACAGCTGGGAGAAGCCCCTGGTGGCACTAGTGGAAAAGAACTTGCCTGCCAATGCAGGAGACAAAAGGGATGTGGTTACAACCCCTGGGTCAGGAAGATCCCCTGGAGGAGGACATGACAACCCACTCCAGTATTCTTGCCTGGACAGTCCCATGGACAGAGGAGCCTTGCAAACTACAGTCCATAGGATTACAAAGAATCAGACATGACTGAAGCGACTTGGCATGTCAACAGATACTGATCACTATATATGAATCAATCAATGAACAAATGAAAGGAAAAATCTGACATTAGCAATTGCATCACATTAAAAAAAATCTGCCGCCTACAACAGTTTATTCAGTGGTTCAGCACAGCATAGTTCATAATAACTTCTTAAAAATAGAGTTAATTTTTAATATTGTTATTGGTTATCCATTGTTATTGGTTGGCAAAAAAAACATTCCACAGGTGTTATTTGTAAAGAACTATAAGGAATTTAGTTTCTGCCTTTTAAAAAATTAGATTAATTTTTAAAAGGAGAGGTCTGGGAATTTGCTAATGTTTGACATAAACATCCAAGCTATGTGCTTTAATAAACCATTTTATTAATGGTTTATTTTTAATAACTTTAATAAACCAAAGTCCTCATTTGTTGAGGACTATAGTTTTAAGTGTAGTAACATGTAAAAAAAAAAAACCCTGAATCATTAGTCTGCTCTATTAATCTAGGAATTTATGAAGCTTCCATAAAATTGAGATATACCGAACAAGTCAGGGTGAGGAAGAAGCCGCGTGTGCAGACACTCACCTGTACGCGGCCCGGTGTCTCTGCAGGGCAACGGCAGCCAGCTGCAGTCTGGCCTCCACCACGACCTCCAGCTCGCCAGCAGAACACTGAGAGAGGTCCTTATGGCCTGGATGTTCCATCTCTGACAGAAGGGTGTTGAGCTTGTCTTCAGCTTCTCTCAGTAAAATTGACTAAAGAAAGAATACCACGCAGTCACCCAAGTCCAGACATAGTACAGACCACGTCTCATCCTTACTCAGCAAATATTTTTTACATACTAAAAAGTAACAATGAATGGAAGAGCAAAAAGGAAATCTGAACAAAGTCATCAGAGAAGAGAGCTCAGTGAACAGGAAGAGGTGGCAGAGAATGAAAAGAGCAGGAAGCAGGAGTAGGTGCCGGACAGCGACCCTTTACTGCACACACAGCGGATGCCCATCCTTGCTTATTCACAGTAGCTGTGTTCTGCAAAGGTCCCGCCAACACTGAGTCAGTGAACGCTGAAGCATTACTCCTAGGGGAAACACAGGGATAGGTTCCTAGAAGCCTCTGGTCATACCTTTTTTGTCAGCTGATCAATACATAATCTTGTTTAATGTGTGTCTATGTTTAAAGACACATAATTGAATATATAGTGTAGATTCATTAACCCTGAACTCACAGCCAGGAGCTCTATCACTCATGCCTGACTGAAGCCTGTCTAACACACACATGTTCTCCAAAAGGCACATCACAGCCTTCTTGAACTTAGGATTACGAGACAGCATTTCGACTTTATGTTTAGGGGCCATTTCAAATAGTGAAATGACAAAACCCCCACAAAAATGTGAAAAGCTTGGCAATAAATACACCATGAAAAGGGACACTTGTTTATAGTATGAGAATGGAAACAAAAAGTCACCATTGTCTTGTTCAACTTGGCTGAGAATGTGCATGTCAGAAAAATCAAATTCTTCTATGCTCTGTGCAGGTCCCCAAATGACCACAAAAGAGCCAAGGGCTTTGATTTGGAGGTTACAAGTAAATTTTAGCAAATCAGCAAATACTGAATCTGTAAACAATGAGGATCAACTGTATTTCAAATTAAACTATGCTCATCTAACTTGTAATGTGAAGATAACAAGATTTTACAGTGGACAATCAGTACTAATTAGCAAAAGAAAAAGAGCCCAACCAAACTTTCAAGGAACAGGTCTCTGAAGACTTCTTTGTACAGGGAAGTAAATATTATGTTAGGACTAGGGTAATTTAATATAATGATTAAGAACATGATCTGTATTTTATCAATTACATGGCATTAGTGAATTTCTTACTGTCTAAGTCTCAATTTATTCATCATTCAGCACAATATAGTTCAAAACTGATTAACAGGTACATCAGAGTTGTGAGAATTAAATATAATGCAAAGTGTCTGTCATGTATAATAGTAAGCACTGAATATATGGTTCTGTTGTTGTTGCTGTTGTGAATCACTGTTATGATTAGGAGATGCCAAACAGGGTATGGAAAGCTTAGATCCCATCAAATAATAAATCTTATTTTCCACAACAACTTAACTGAGTTAAAAGGTCAAAGTCTGACACCACTCAGCATCTGCTTTTCTCATGGGGAGTAGACCCATCTCTGGCCCCAGCCCATGCTTGGGAAAGAAAAGCTAACAGATTTCCCAACAGTGAGCACAAACCTGAAAGTTGGCCTGGACAGGGCCTAAGAGTGGGCATTTTGGTAACTGACTCACTATGATTTGAGAATTTTTTTTTTTTAACTTACCTTTAGTGTGCTAAGAGAAAAGTTCTCTTTCAATTTTGTCAGATGACAAAGTGAGCCTCCCTCGTCCTTTAAACACAACTCTACAAAACACAACATTTTAGAAGAACTACATATATCTATGGGTAGCTTAAATGTGAATTCCAATTTATAAAACTTATCATTAGTTGGGAAATACAATGTTTAAAAATCAACCACAATGATAATTAGAAATATACTGCTATATACACTGGTCCTCAACCATCATACATTATAAGACTACAGCTGATTCTTAAAACAAATTGTATATGTGTGTGTCAGTCACTCAGTTGTGTCCAACTCTATGACCCCATGGAGTAGCCCACCAGGCTCCTTTGTCCAAGGGATTCTCCAGGCAAGAATACTGGAGTACATTGCCATTTCCTCCTCCAAGACAATTCTGAAAGGATCTTTCATATGTTTGTTGATGCCATTCAAGTTAATCAACTACTGATACAAAGGAATGGTTCTTCACCTGGGATCCTATCTGGTTCTGAAAGTATTCTGAGTCTTCTAGATATCTGTAATATCTCAGTAAGATCTCCTTGGAGGTATCAGTCCTGCTGATCTGCACCAGCCCCTCACTCTAAGACCAGAGAGTGAGGCCATTTGTAATAGCACATCTACAATCCTCAAACATCTTGACATGCCTACCTACAATACAAAGCCAGCCCTCATTCTGAGCAAAGGAGAACTGAGACAATTTAAATCGTAGTCTTTGCCTGCTTTAGTAAGCCTGGCTTCTAGACTACAAGAGGGAGAAAAATGACAAGTCCTTACTTGACTAGGAATTAATGCACAAATGACCCACGTAAAGAGGCTAAGTTTGCCAAGTGGAACAGGGAGTCCAGAATAACATGAAACTGAACACTCTTGACTTCCTCCCTTCCAACTTCAACCTACCTGGCTCTTCTCCTAAATTAGGAGGCTCTGGAGCTAAGGGTCAGCTGAGGATGAAAGAGGGCCCAGAAGAAAGATCTGGGATGTGGTCTTCTTCCCTAAGGGAAAGTGCGAGAGAGACAAGGACAGAAGACAAATGCCTGGACGTTGGTATGGAGAAGCCCTGGGAAGGGTCTGACCCTCATCTCCCTCTGGCCCTCTCTGCCTCCTGAGCAGCAGTCCCACGTTGTATTAAGCCCCTCCCTCTCGGGGGCTCTAAATAACAAACTATGTTTTCACTGGCAGTCAGTTCATCTGTTGGCCTTAGGTGTATGTGTGAAAGTGTTAGTTGCTCAGTCGTATCCAACTCTGTGATCCCATGGACTGTAGCCCACCAGGCTCCTCTGTCCACAGGATTATCAAGTCAAGAATACTGGAGTGGGTTGCCATTTCCTTCTCCACAGTTGGCCTTACCATACCTGAATAATAATAAAACTTACATTTTAAAACAGAGGTCATATTATGCTGATACCAAAACTAGACAAAGACATCATAAGAAAAAAGAAAAAACTACACAATATATCATATGAATATGGATGCAAAAATCTTTTAAGAAAATCCTAGCAAACAATCCAGGAATATATATAAAGATGTTACACCATGACCAGTGGGATTTATCCCAAGAAAGCAAGGATGATTAAACACTCAAAAATCAACCAATACACCCTTATTGATAGAATACAAAATAAAAAACATATAATCATCTTAATAGACACAGCAAAAACATTTAATAAAATCCAACACCATATTTAACTTATATGCAGAGTACATCACGCAAAATGCTGGGCTGGATAAAGCACAAGATTGGAATCAAGATTGCTGGGAGAAATATCAATAACCTCAGATACACAGATGATACCACCCTTATGGCAGAAAGTGAAAAGAAACTAAAGAGCCTCTTGATGAAAGTGAAAGAGGAGAGTGAAAAAGCTGGCTTAAAACTCAACTTTCAAAAAACTACAGTCATGGCATCTGGTCCCATCACTTCATGGCAAACAGATGGATAAACAGTGGAAACAGAGATAGACTATTTTCTTAGGCTCCAAAATCACTCCAGGTGCTGACTGCAGCCATGAAATTAAAAGATGCTTGCTCCTTGGAAGAAAAGCTATGACCAACCTAGACACATATTAAAAAGCAGAGACATTGCTGACAAAGGTCCATCTAGACAAAGTTATGGTTTTTCCAGTAGTCATGTGTGGATGTGAGAATTGGACTATAAAGAAAGCTGAGTGCCGAAGAATTGATGCTTTTGAACTGTGGTGTTGGAGAAGACTCTTGAGAGTCTGTTGGACTGCAAGGAGATCAAACCAGTCCATCTCAAAGGAAATCAGTCCTGAATATTCATTGGAAGGACTAACACTGAAGCTGAAACTCCAATACGTTGGCCACCTGATGTGAAGAACTGACTCACTGGAAAAGACCCTGATGCTGGGAAAAACTGAAGGCAGGAGGAGAAGGGAACGACAGAGGATAAGATGGTTGGATGCCATCACTGACTCAATGGGTGTGAGTTTGAGTAAACTCCAGGAGTTGGTGATGGACAGAAGGCCTGGGGTGCTGCAGTCTATGGGGTCGCAAAGAGTCGGACATGACTGAGTGACTGAACTGAACTGAACACCCTTTCATGATAAGATCACTCAACAACCTAGGAACAGAAGAGAAATTCCTCTACGTGATAAAGGACAGCTATGAAAAACTTACAGTTAATATCATACTTAGAGGTTAAAAAAAACTTTTAAGGCAACATTATTACATTTGCAAAATGCTTATATAGTTTTATATGTATATATGGGCTATAAATTCCATCCATGGATATATTATCCCATAGAAATATATACTATAATATGGATATGGAGTGCTTCTGCATATCCCTGGATATGGCGGTATCTAGGGATATGCAGATATTCCATATCCTGGAAACAAAATGAACACACAACAAAGGAATGGTTGAATAAATCATGGGATGTTCACAGCATAGAACACCACACAGCCGAGATGGGAGACAAAGCAAAGCAGTTGACTTGGGGTGGCTTAGCAAAGTTTTCTACATAAGAATTGCGAAAAACAGAAAAATGAAAAATACATCATCTGTTAAGCAAATGACAAATCTGATTTTGTATGTGCAGCTGACCCTTGATCAACATAGAGGTTAGGGGCACTGACCCTCTATACAGTCAAAAATCCATGTATAATTTATACTCGATGCTTGGTATAGGCAGTCCTCTATATTCACTGTTTAGCATCTGTAGAGTCAACCAACCACAGATTTGCAGCATTGAAATGTTCACTACTGAAAAAATTTGATATACCAGTGGACATGCGCAATTCAAACCTGTGTTACTCAAGGGTCAACTGTACATAATGTAAAAAAAAGTAGACATATATGCAGATAAATTGGTGGATACAGCACCTAGACTTAAGCACATATGTGTCATTAAGTGAACTCAGAGAAAACTATGAAAGAATACCTGCTAGAATGTTTATATGGGCTATAGTGGGTAGAGTGGGGAATTGGAAGGGAAAGGAAATAAAAAGAGAAATAAGCAAAAAATAAATAAAATAAAACATTACCTTTCAAGTTTGGAAGATTTGGTCTGTTTTTCTCATTCATAACTCCATGGCTGACTGGTTTCATTTTCTGTTCTGGGACACAATTTATTGTTGCAGCCACATTTATGAAAAAGTATGCTTTAACAAACAAAAACTTATTTAAGAGATGTTGCTGGCTGATTGTAACCAGAATTAGAGGCATGCCTTTATTTATTAAATCATCAAGTGCCTAAAAAATGGAGAAAAAATGAAAATCAGGAATAGTAGTAAAATACTGTTTTCAGATATTAGCTTCAGTCCTTCTACAGTCCTCACTTGGCACAGGATGAAGGAATGGAGGGCTAGACGTGAAGGACTGTAATTGGCAAGTCCAGTGAGAGAGACATGGTGTCATACGATGCCAGCAGGTCCACAGGGCTCCTGCCGTTCCTCACTGGTGGGTGACCTGCCCCACAACGTCAGCCCTGCCACGCAATGAGAGTGAACCCAGTGCTGGCATCGAGGACGGGACAACCTATCAAAACAGAGCAACTAAAAAGCTCAGCAGCCATGCATGCTGGCCGCTCTGCTTTAGCTCAAGTGAATCAGGGCCCACAGGATGGAAGAAGAGGAAGAACAGGCAGACAAACAACGCCTCCCCAGCTTAGATTCTGGGTCGGTCATGAGAATGCCCACCGTGAGGACTCCCTCAACTTCCTGGCCATCCCCTGCACACACACTTCCCTGGCAACTGTTAACTTTACATTCCTGACCAAGCCTCAGTGCCACCTGGTCATCATCCGACATCTTCCCAGTCCATTCACTCTTGCTCTCTCCTTAGGCAACCACTTCATGTCCTTTTGTTTCTAAATTCTAACACTTCCTCCCCAATGCCCCGCCCAGCGAATAACCTTGCTTCCTCTACTCAGATGAGCAAACGGAAGCAGTCAGGGCAGTGCCCACAGAGCCCACCGCCCCGCCTCGCCATGCAGCCGCCTCGCTGCCCGGCCTTCCCGCCTGCTTCCCACGGCTGGTGCCACTGCTTACGGAGGTCATCAGTCCCATCCCCACCAGCCTGATCAGCCGTTCTCTCCTACAGCCTAAGTGCTCCCTTTGTGACAAATGCCACATGATATCACTTACACGTGGAATCTAAAATATGACATGAGCAAACTTATCTACAAAACAGGAGCAGACTCAGACACAGTGAACAGAGCCGTGGTTGCCAAGGGAGGGGAGACGGAAGGGACACCCTGGGAGCCTGGAGTCAGCAGACGGGAGCTTTATATGTGGGACGGATGAGCAACAAGGTCCTGCCGTGTGACACAGAGAGCGAAATCCAGTATCCTGTGGCACACCGTGACGGAAGAGAGTGTGAAGGAGAACGTATGTGTGTAAACTGAATCGCTTTGCCGTACAGCAGAAATTAATATAACATGGTAAATCAGCTACACTTCACTTTGTAAAAAGTGTTTCCTTCCTACAGAGACATTCTCATCAGTACACTGTCTTCTCCATTTTAAAAACCGATTAACTCTCTACATTCTGACTTCCCTCTCCATTTACTACTCGAATCTTCACTTCTGTTTACAACATCAACCCCCAAGGTTGTCACTATTCCAATCTCTCTCCTTTCATTTTCTTGTAGACATACTCCATCCTTACACTGAAATCCTCTGGTTAAAGTAATCAATGGCCTACTCTAGGCTAAACCCATTGTTCAGTTCTTAGTTTTCATAGGCAAGAATACTGGAGTGGGTAGCCATTCCCTTCTCCAGGGATGGAACCTGGGACTCCTGCATTGTAGGTGAATTCTTTACCATCCAGGCCACCAGGGAAGCCTGCTTCATATCCTATGTTATGTTCATCTAAGACATCATTATTTTATATGCCAATTAAACATTCATATGCCTGCAACTGTAAAATGCATTCTAACTGCAGAGTTATTAAATGTTTTATTAAAATGAATGTTTAAGACTTGGTGAATTACAGGACTGCATTTGTCAGCAATATTTGACACTATGAAACCTTCCCGATTTTGAAAATGCTCCTCCCTTGGCTTTCAAGCCACCACACGCCCTTGCTTCTTTTCCTCTTCTATCCACTCCTCCTTTTCAGTCGTCTTTGCTGGCTCCTCCTCTTCTCCTAGACCTCTAAGTACGTAGTGTCCCAGGGCTTGGTCCCCTTCTGTACCCTCATTCTCTCCCCTTAGATGATCTTAATCAGGCTCATGTTTTTAATCTCATCTAAATGCTACGTCCTACATGTTTGTGTCCAGCTCCAACTCCCTTCTAACTCAAGACTCCTGTAATCAACTTCTGACTCTATTCTTCCATTTAGAGGTCTAACAGACATCTCAAACTCAACATGTCCAAAATCTTATTCCTGGTTTCCACCCCCCCCCACCACACACACACACACACACACACACACACACACAACATAAGCTCTATGAGGAATGAGAATCTGTCTGTATTGTTGATTGGTTAGTGTGTCTGGCTGACAGCACCATAATAGAACCTGGCACACACAGCAGACTCCGCAGATTAGCTAAAGCGATCCCTTTAAAACATAAGCAGGGCTTCCCTGGCGGCTCAGTGGTAAAGTATCTGCCTGCCAGTGTAGGGGACATGGGTTTGATCCCTGACTCCGGAAGATCCCACACACCGCGGAGCAACAAAGCCCATGTGCCACAACTATTGAGCACATGCTCTAGAAACCAGGAGCCGCAGCACTGAGCCCACACGCTCTGCAGCAAACGAAGCCACTGCAGTGAGAAGCCCATGCACCACAGCTAGACAGGAGTCCCTGCACTGCAGACAGAGAAACGTCCGTGCAGCAGAGAAGCCCCAACTCAGTCAAAAATAAATAAGTTACAAATTTAAAAAAAACGTAGATCAGGCCACACCTCTGCCCTGAATCTTCCAGTGGCTCCGCCTTTTGTTCAGAGTAAGAGTCTGGATGATGAAAGCCCTACAAGGCCCTTCTCCATTTGGGCACCCCACCACTAGCCACCCCGTTACCTCTCTGACCCATCTCCTACTGTTCTCCCATCACTCACAGAACTCAAGGAACACTGGCCAAGGTGTCCCTCACTAAGTAGGCGATCTTGCCTCAGGGCCTTTGCACCCACTGTAGCCTGTTCTAAGATTATTCTTTCTCCAGATTTCATATGACTTGCAACCTTATCTGCTCCAGGTCTGCTCACCAATGTCACCTCAGTGATGACTAAGCTGATTGCCTCATTCAAAATTACAACTCCAGCCCACCCTCTTTATTGGCTGCTGGACTCATTCTCCCCTGCAGCATGGTTCACCTTCTAACATACTATATAATTTACTCATATATAATGTTCAGACATATATCATGTTTATTACTAGTCTTGCCCACTAAACTATAAGCGCCCTGAGGGCTTGGAATCCGTATTATTGATTAACTGATGCATTTATTTGACAGCTCAAGAATTGTGCCTTGTACACAACAGGCTCTTGGTAAATATTTGTTGACTTAATATAAAAAGCAGATGCCAGGACTATCGATTCTAAAAAGAAGGAAATTATTTGCCTTATGCGAACTGAAAAAGAAAAATCTCATCGTTGGAGAGATTTTGAGCCAATGTTGGCAGTGGGAGGTCTGTTGTTGCTGTTCATTCTCCTTGCTTAACCTCTTGTAAAGGGCGGAAAACAATACCCACATCAGAACCAGACAGGGAGCAACTCTGAGACTGATTTGGTAACAAATGGTTGTACTAGGAAAACGGTTGACATTCTCCATCTAGAAAAAGGAACTTCAGACTGGTTAGGGGTGGAGGGATGTGTAGGAGAAGGTTTCTCTTTTTTATCCACAGCAAACAGTGATTTAATGAGCCCTGACAATTACACACAAACACTTGAGGATCAAAAGAAGATTAATTAGTAATGCTATCTAACACTCCTTTCTCTTTCTACAGAAAATATAAAATGTAATTTGAAGAGTCTTAAGCAGACTAACAGTTCTGTTTTAATTAATTAACTAATAGAAATAGGTTTTCCATTATACTGTCAGTCTCTTTAAAAAAAAAAAAATCAGACAGACATTCTGTTTATACCCCAAACTACTTTTATGACCAAAACCAAAAGAAGTGTTTTCAGGATGCCCTGGCATTTATGACTGGAAAGAAATAAATATTCTGAAACACCCCAAGGTCTCAGAACACTAAAATGAAAGTTGAATATGTATTTGGTGTCTTCCTAATACCAGCTCTTTCATGTCAGACAACTTGGTTGTAAATTAAAACAAATTTTAAGACAAAAACAATGAGTCACTTGAAGGATAATTAAAAGTGAAGTTTGTGGAATAAAATGAATAATAATAGATAAGTAATAAGATTACATATTTAATAAAAGGTGGGTATATCAAAATTATGGAAGAAAAAAATAAAGCAATTTTTAGGAAAAGTCTCTCAAAATTATTTCATAAAAATTAATACTTAGCAGAACAGAATGCTGTTTCTGAGCATTAAAAAAACAAAAACTACATGTGTCTGGCTAGATGCATTAACCATCACCTGGCTGTGTGAACCACTCACCTATCTGCAACCCCATTAACAATGATCACCCTACCAACCTTTCACATCAACACTTTCTAGTGGAACAAATAGCTGGTACTCTTAAGATTTTTTTTAGTGACTTGATAAAATATACTTAAATGCTCATAGGTCATCAAAAGCTTAAAACCCAATCATTCAATTATTGACAAGAACAAACTTACTGAGATGGGCAATCTGGTCCTCCCTTTGTAAAAAATAGTGGGAAAGTCAGAGGAATTGTTTATGAAAATGCCATATGAAAATATTCCTTTAGCTAACCCTGCAGGGGAAATCATATTGCAGTACATAAAAGTATCAAATCAATGCAGTTGTGCACCTCACATTTATACAACATTATGTGTTGATTCCATCCCAGTAAAAAACTGGAAAAGAACAGAAAACCTTTCAAACACTGGTTGAGAGGTCATCTTAGACTGGGGCAAGGGTCTAAGTAAAAGCAGTATTGAATAGGTGGCCTATTAGAAAATCCTTTACTTATGATCAAAATTACTAGGTACCTAAGATAAATATTAGATGCTTGGCAAGGCTAGATAAGACACTGAAGATGCATGTATAACTGAAAAATTGAGGAACAGTAACTGATGTTTGTTGCACCCGAAAAGCAGATCAGTTTGGGTCCAACCGTACCGCTGGCTTCAGTATTTGGAGGTAACATCTCTTTACTAGAATAGAAGACTATATTCACAGCAGGTGCTCAAAAACAAAGATTATACACACCAAATAGATTGAAATGACTCAAAAATTATCCACACTAAATAGCCAAAGTTTACAAAATGTTATCCTTACCTGAATATTTTCTTTACTAATAAGAGGTTTTGCCGAGTCAAATGATTGAAATAGCTGTCAATATAAAAAATGTTAACATTAGAAACAAGAGTACTGAGTGGTCCTTTAGATGAAAACATTAATGTGTTCTAAAACTATTTTTAAACACTAGTTTTACTATAAAAATAATACATGCTCTAGTCAGAAAAGGCAAGTATAGTATAAAGAAGAAAGCAAAAACATCTTTAGGTTGTTAATGTTAATATCTTGGTGTCTTTACTACCAACTTCGTTCTGATGTATTTTAAAGCTTTATATATATTGGATTTGTATTCCTTTTCACTAAATGTTACACCATAATTATTTTCCCAAGCCATTAAGTTATTTGTAAATCCCACCCAACAGCTCAGTGACATTCTAGCCTACGAATATACTGGGGTTGGCCAAAAAGTTAGTTCAGGTTTTTCTGTAACATCCTATGGAAAAACCTGAGAGAACATTTTGGCCAATCCCAGTAGCATAATAACTTATCCTCTTGCCTATTGTTAGACACATAAGAGGACCACTTTCCCCCTCCACCCCACCATTCAGCCCTGTACTAAATAATATTGGTGATGAGTATTTCTGATTAGCACCTTTGAATAGATTCCTACAAGCAGAAGTGCTGGGTCATAAGAATAAGAGGCTTCCCTGGTGGCTGAGACAGTAAAGAATCTGCCTGCAGTGTAGGAGACCCGGATTCCATCCCTGTGTCAGGAAGATCCCCTGGAGGAGGAAACGGCAACCCATTCCAGTATTCTTGCCTGGAAAATCCCGTGGACAGAGGAAACTGGCGGGCGATAGTCCATGGGGTCACAAAGAGTCAGACATGACTGAGCGACTGACATACACACAGCTCGGCTTACCTTCCACCCACGTGGCACGAAAAGGATCAGTGCAGTTTCAACAGCATTACATATTAGCACCTATATTTTTTTTTTTTTGCAAGTCTCTTTTAAGTTTGTGTGTGTGTGTGTGTGTTTCAACAGCATTACATATTAGCACCTATATTTTTTTTTTTTTTGCCAGTTTGAGGTAAAATTGTATTACTCTTCAGAATGATGCCTTTTGTGGTTCTTTCCTTGTTTGTGAATTACCTGCTAATATGTTCTAAATATAATGTTGCCTTAGAAAATATTCCATTCATTTGCTGCAGAACACTGTTGTATCATTGTGAGTGTGCAGCCCTCTTGGTACAGAAGACCTTTTAAAAAGGCACCTGTTCTCAGGCATCAATACTAATACCTCACTCACATCCTCTTGGTCACCTGCAAGTCACTAGCATCTTCCATGAATAGGTCACTCATATGTGGATGGTATCCTACTTCAAGCACCTGGACCTCTCTACCTGAGGACAGTCTGCGGCCACAAGAGAGTTTCAGGAGAGGCTGGACACATAAGGAGCAGCCACTACCTATGAGGGGTGAGGGACGTCTCTCCGTGGCCCCGACTGCCCATGGCAGTGATCTCATTAACACTCTCTGGAGTGGTTTCCCTTATTTGGCTGTCTGACTTTCCCCCTTACTCACAGTTCTTCCTGGAGTCACCACCCAAACACACTGTGAAAGTGAAAGTTGCTCAGTCATGTCCGACTCTTGTGACCCCATGGACTATATCTATATAGTCCTTGGAATTCTCCAGGCCAGAATACTGGAGTGGGTAGCCTTTCCCTTCTCCAAGGGATCTTCCCAACCCAGGGATCAAATCTAGATCTCCCACATTGCAGGTGCATTCTTTACCAGCTCAGCCACAAGGGAAGACCCCTGAACACACTACTTGTTCCCAAATCTTTATCTCAGGATCTGCTTTTGAGGGACCCCTAAATTAAGACATCATGCATAGCTCTTAAGGGAAGAAAGTGTTGGTAAGTGTTTAAAGACATTCTTTTTTTTTTTTTTTTTAGATAGCCTATATTTCCTTGAATACATTGAAAAGTGAGTAAGCAAATCCAGGGTGAGACTTCTGGTGATATAGTTTGAAGAAGTTTAATGATGGGACTTTAGATTTGGTGATGAGAACAGAAACTCAATATGAGTATGTTTAAAAATAGAATTTTTTAAAAGCCTGTGAAAAGTCCAATCATAATCTGTAAGATTTTTTTCAGTAACTGCTTTTACACTGAAATCTAATTCATTAATCCTTTCTTTAAATAACTAGCCTGCAGCCTAATAACATTGGCACCTATTTTAATTATAAACCCTGAATGCACTTCCTCTTTTAATTATGCTTTTTAAATTCCCAACTGAAGCCGGAAAGCTGCACAATAACTTTGAGAATAAAAAATATGAACTCACAGTCTATCAGGAGACAATTTGCCCCCACTTTTGTCTTATGCAAGCTCGTTGATTAAAAAAATGAACTTTGGAATTTATCTGTAAACATGAGTTTCAGTTTGGATTGGCGGGCTATAGTCCATACGTCACAAAGAGTTGGACACACTGAAGCGACTGAGCATGTGAGTTTCAGGCTGCTTGTTTATTTGTTTTGGTGATACCAGTGACTACTGAAAACTTTCTCTTGCTTCCCATTCTACCAGCTGACTTCCCTTTCCTTCTTGTCTTCTGGACCCTAAGTGTGGAGGATCCCAGCGTCCAGCCCTCTGACTTCTACTTTTCACTCTGCCTTGGTCCCCAGCTGATTTCATCCAGTCCCATGATTTTTTTAACTCTCTGTTAATGCTCCCAAATTTACCTGCAGCCCTAACCTCTCCTCTGAATCATATACTCTCTGCACCTACACAGGCAGCCTCTCCACCTGTTTGTCTACTAGGAATCTCACACTTAACATGCTCCACCCTGCCTCGGAGCAGCAGGACTCCCCATCTCAGTCAATGAAAACACTTTCCTACCAGCTGCTCATGTTGAAGCTGTGTGGTCATGCTTAACTTTCTTCTCTTACCTCCTATATCTCAACCAGCATCAGCAGAAGCTGTCAGCTCTGCCTTAGCTACACATCCATAATGTCACCACATTTCTTTCCTTCCACCCCTGTTACCTCTAACCACTGCCATGCCTCACTCAGCTCATTTGTAAAGCCCTTCTCCCTGGTCTCGCTATTTATACTCAACCTTATCCACCATCCATTCCCTAAATAGCAAGCAAGTGGTTCTCTGAAAGTTACTACTATCACATCAGTCCTCTCAAAGCTTTCCCAGGTTTCTCCTATTCAAAGCAAACTCTAGTCCTCACCCAGCCCTGTGTGATCCAATATGACCTAGCTCCTGGGTGTGGCCCTGTCCTCCTCCTCTTTCTCTCCAGTCTGGGCTCACATGGCCCAGCCTCACATGGCCTCCCTAATTTTCCACAAGCGCATCTTCCAGGCCTTTCCTCTTGTACTTCCTCTTATTTGGAAGGCTGTTCCCTCAAATCTTTCACTCCTTATTAGATTTCCCAAACCAGCCTCAATAAGATAGCAGCCAACCACTCTGGCCACTTCCTGTCCCCTCAACTCAACTTGATCATCCTTCACATCACTGTCACCATCTGACATATAATTATGTGCTTAATATGTTTATTATTTGTCTTCCTCACTAGACTCCCCAGTGGTAATGTGCCTTCAGGAAGGCAAGAACTCCATTTACCTTTCCAAGGCTCTGTCTCCATGTCTGGAATAGTGCCTATATTCAGTCAGCATTCAATAAATATTTTTCAATGAATTAAAATATGATTTTAATAACAAAACTATTTACAATAAGGAAAGGTTGTTGCTTGAGAAAAAACAAGAAACTGATCATTTAACCCAGGTAACAAGATGAACTAGCTGGGCCATAGGAAATGAACCAAAAAACCCAACAGACTCCCAGGTAGACAGCTAGCTAGATAGAAATACAGTGGAGGACTGTTTCCAGGATTCATCCCCCAACCTCCTTTACCAAAATCTACAATGCTTAAGTACTTATATGAAATAGCGCAGTATTTGCACATATCTTAGGCATATCCTCCCATATACCTTAAATCATCTCTAGATTATTTATAATGTCTAATTCAATGTAAATGATATGTAAGTACCTGTAAATACAATGTAAATGTTATGTAAGCAATTGCTAGCAGGCAGATTTAAATTTTACCTTTTGGAACCTTCTGGAATTTTTTTCCGAATATTTTGAACTATGGTTGGTTGAAACTGTAGGTGTACAGACCCACACACACATATCCTATCACCTAGGCTGAACAGTGAAAGAATCAAACCCGGTCTCCACATGGAAGGCAGATTCTTCACTGCCTGAGCCACGAGGGAAGCCTTCCTCCTGGGCTGCCTCAGTACAATAAACATTAACACCTTGGCAGTCATACTGAGAAAAAGCAGCAGCATTTAGTGGACACTCGGAAGTAATGCATGCATACATGTAAACACACTGTCAGCCTCTGCAGACATTTTTCAAGATGCAGAGCCATCCCCCAGTTTCTTTAGGTCCTCCAGAGGGGAATCCCGCCAGCATGCACTGTGTCTCAGTCTCACTCCTCACTCACAGGGTCCCTCCTCGGAAACTGACTTGTTCCTCCTCCTGTGTCCTTCACTGCTGGCCCCTGGGTGAGCGTCCAAATACCCAGCCTAAGCAAGATCTCCCAGTGATTCCCAGACCACCGCAAACACCAAAGCAGAGGAAATGATAGCTCACTCTGATTTAAATTTAAAGGTCAGTATTCAGTCCCTGGGATTCCCTGGTGGTTCAGACGGTAAAGCTTCTGCCCGCAACGTGGGAGATGATCCCCTGGAGAAGGAAATGGCAACCCACTCCAGTACTCTTGCCTAGAAAATTTCATGGATGGAGGAGCCTGGTGGGCTACAGTCCATGGGGTCACAAAGAGTCGGACACAACTGAATGACTTTTCACATTCAGTCCCTGGGTTGGGAAGATCCCCTGGAGAAGGGAATGGCAACCCACTCCAGTATTCTTACCTGAAGAATTCCATGGACAGAAGAGCTTGGTGGGCTACAGTCCATGGGTCACAAAGAGTCAGACATGACTGAGTGACTAACACACACATTCATTTTCAAGGATGCTTCACTTATGCAATTTATAAATACCAATTAAGCAAGCCAGGTAAAACTCTCTCCCAGTCCAATAAGGCTCAACAAACTAGAACATTTTCTTCATAAAAATCAGAAGAAATTTGAACATATGCTTAACTTTTTGGTATAAAGTATTAATATGTAAAGCAAAATATCCAACTAAAACTTGAAGAGAGACTGTTTTGACTAAAAATATTAATTAGAAATTACAAGCTCAGATTCAAAGGTCTAAGAGGCAGTGGCTAATAAATATGTCCCCTGAGACTTTCCATGATAACACAGAGTCAAAATTCCACAGTCAAAACCTACACCCAACAAAAACCACTACAATATTGTAAAGTAATTAGCCTCCAACTAATAAAAAAAAAAAAATAAAACCTAGGATAGGCAAAGTACTTTTTGAAAAATATGCTCATCTAAAATTGTTCTGAAAGTCTCTCATAATATTATGATTTCATATTAATAGATAGTATTGGAAAACAAAACCTTGAACAAGTCTTCCTAAAATTTAATTGGTAGTATCTGGCCAGGGAAAGAAGCCAGAAAAAAAAAATTGTTTCTTTTGGAATGAAGGGACTGTATGTCTTGAATACTGGATTGAGTGTTTTGCATTAAAAATATACAAATAAAGAGCAAAAAAAAAAAACCTACACCCAGACCACAATCCCATCCCTGTCTTGACACCCACCCCTCCATTTCAGACAAAGGAAGCCTTGTGTATGTCTGAGGTTAGCTCTCATCAGTCATGGTGGCTCAAGTGGTAAAGAATCTGCCTGCAATGCGGGAGACCCAGCTTTGATCCTAGGTCAGGGAGATCCCCTGGAGAAGGGCATGACAACTCACTCCAGTATTCTTGACTGGAGAATTCCATGACAGAGGAGGCTGTCATGGACAGGAGTCCATGGGGTGGCAAAGAGTCAGACACTACTGAGTGATTAGTGCAATAATCAGTCTTAAAAGAAGTCTGCAGTGCCAGAGACTTGTAAATACCGTTAGTGGAAGGATTTCCTAGATTTTAGGAATGTAGTTTTCAAAATGACCTTGAAAAGGTTAAAAAACAGCTTTGAATTAAGTCGGCAGGTTTACCTTCATTTTTCCAGTAGGTTTACAGCCAGTGGGTACTGAAGAAGGCATGTTTTTCGCATAAAATATCTGGGATAGCTCGTGAAAGGCTTCAGAAAAGAATCCTAAATCTGTAAGGACTTCTATCTTTAAAGGAACAAAAACAAGAGAGAGATACTAAATTAAACCATTTGTTTTACTTACAAAATTAAAATTTTAGAGAAAAATCATCAACTTCCTGAGATCCAAGACGTCTGCTTCATACTGGTGATGCGTTATCAGTTAACATTCAGACAACACGGTTGTGGAGACGCAGGTGTCTGCGCCTAAGCCAGCCCACGTGGACAGAGACCAAGAAACAGGGAATCACAGCAAGTGACTTTTCAAGACAATGGCCATTCATCAGTAATAACAGATGCAAACACATTTAAAGAAATAAGATAGACATAGAAGCATTTTAAACAATTTACTTCATCCTTTTGTCCCCATGGTAAAGTATGGCTAATACTTTGACCACCTGATGTCACCAACTCACTGGAAAAGACTCATCGGAAAAGACACTGATGCTAGGAAAGACTGAGGGCAAGAGGAGAACAGGATGGCAGGGCATGAGCCAGCTGGATGGCATCACTGGCTCAATGGACATGAGTTTGAGCAAACTCCAGGAGACAGTGAAGGACCGGGAAGCCTGGTGTGCTGCAGTCCATGGGGTCACAAAGAGTCAGACACTGCTGAGCTACTGAACAACAACTACAAACTATGGTTTCAAAGACAAAACAGGGACTTTGCTGGTGGCCCAACAGTTAAGAAGCCACCTCCCAAAGAGGGGACTCTCCATCCCTGGTCGGGGATTAAGGGCCCACATGCCACAGGGCAACTAGCCCATTTGCCATAGCTACTGAACTGGCACGCTCTGAAGCCCGTGCAACACAACCAGAGAGAAGCCCACGGGCCGCAGCGGAAGATTCTGCATGCCACATCTGAGACCCCAGGCAGCCGACAAATGCACAAGAAAGACAAAACAAAACACTTCCAGTTTCTCTAACACTCTGAGCGATGTCAAACAAACCAGGAGATGAATTCCACAGTGCATCAGCTGTTCGTTTTCTTATCCACAGTGAATGGACACTGTCAATTTTACAGACATGTACTTAACAGCATTAGTCAATTGGGAACTATATATTGTACATGGTTTGTTTTGAATATAACCTAGCAAGACTTTCCATAAGAAAATTACAGGAAGAAAAGAAAGATCCTGATCAAATACATGCATTTGTTCAACATGTATCCTGAGCTTCTCTTCTGCACAGACCCATCTTGAAGGTTACATCCACTGTATAAATGATTAGCTAAATTTAAGTGATACATGAAGATATATCTAATGTGAAAAGACATAAAAGTTACTGACAAAATACGATGTTTCAAATTGTGATCAGGAGGAACTTCTCTGAGAAGAAAACTTTCAAGAGAATATTTGGGAAATGATATGATGGAGGGAGATGTGAAAATCTGCTGAGGGCACCTTGAAGACAAAGGTCATGTGGTGACAGAAGCAATCCCGGGGTCCTGGTGAGTTCAGGGAACAACCTGTGTGGCGGGAGCTTAGAGAGAGGAGAAGAGGGCTGGCAGCTAGGTGTGAGTGGCGGCCAGTCAACTAGAGTGGAGCCTCGGGATCTGATCCTCTGCAGGATAAGTGACTGAAGAGTTTTTAACAGGGCTGGGTCTGTACCTGACTTATGTTTTAAAACATCTAGTGAATCACAAGCTGGGATCAAGACTGCCAGAAGACATATCAACAACCTCAGATAAGAAGATGATACCATTCTAATGGCAGACAGTGAAGAGGAACTAAAGAGCCTCTTGATGAGGGTGAAAGAGGAGAGTGAAAAAGCTGACTTAAAACTCACCATTCAAAAAAATTAAGATCATGGCATCTGGTCCCATCACTTCATGGCAAATGGGGAGAAAGTGGAAACAGAGACAGACCTTATTTTGTTGGGCTCCAAGATCACTATGGATGGGGACTGCAGCCATGAAAGTAAAAGATACTTGCTCCTTGGAAGGAAAGCTATGACAAAACCTAGACAGCATATTAGAAAGCAGAGATATTACTTTGCCAACAAAGGTCCATCTAGTCAAAGCTATGCTTCTTGTTGTATATGGATGTGAGAGCTGGACCATAAAGAAGGCTGAGCACTGAAGAATTCATGCTTTCAAACTGTGGTGCTGGAGAAGACTCTTGAGAGTCCCTTGAACAGCAAGATCAAACCAGTCAACCCTAAAGGAAATCAACATTGAATGTTTATTGGAAGGACTGATGCTGGAGCGCCAATACTTTGGCCACCTATGCAAAAAGACATCTCGTTGGAAAAGACCCTGATGCTGGGAAAGATTGAAGGCAAAAGGAGAAGGTGGCAGAGGATGAGATGGTTGGATGGCATCATTGACTCAATGGACATGAGTTTGAGCAAACTCCGGGAGATAGTGAAGGACAGGGAAGCCTGGTGTGCTGCGGTCCATAGAATTGCAAAGAGTCAGACACAACTTATCCACTGAACAGCAACAAGTGACTTCACAGAGGACAGGAAATAGTAAACTTGGAGCAGGGGGTAAAATACACACTTGGATGAAGGTGACATGTATCTAAAACAAAATCCAATTTATCCTTGACACGTATACTCATCTTACTTTCTTTTCCTTTATATTATCTAAGGAATCTCAAGAGTGTACCAATTTTAAAGAAATAAAAAGAAGGTGAGTCAGAAGGAAACAGGATGTGACAAGAACATAAAAATAAAACATACAAAGTCAGGAGAATATTTTTAATGAAGAGAAAATGGCTTGTCTATTGAGCTGCACACTTTGGCTCTTGCCTAAAACACTTTGGGCTCTAATCTCCCTGGTGTCATATAATACCAAAGCAGGGTGTAGGGAGTTGACTGAGCTCTCTGCTCCTCAGAGGAAGCATTTCCCCATATCTGTGTGAGGTCAGCCTCCTCTGGTCTTGAATGTGAGATTGCTGTACATGGACCACTTGTAACTGTTCAGGCTACCTCTGGTTCAGCTGATCAAATTAATCTGACCATTTGAAAAAGCCATGGTGATAATAATAGACATGTATTTTCAGAAACACTGTGAACATAAAGAAGCCAGGTGGAAAAAAGAACCACCCATTAATGAACCATTCAATCACACAAATACAGAACTATTGGTACCCTTCCCAGGAATGCTGGATGTTTTGAGAGTAATACCTCTTTTAGGAAGCCAGACAAGTTGATCATAAAGAGGTCTTAAAGCCTTCCCTGAAAGACATTAGAGCACTGGTAGAGACTTAACAGTGTGATTTACTGCTGTTTGATTTGTCAGAAAGCATCATTGCTTACTGTTTGCTGACTGTGACTTTTCTCTTTTCCCACTCACTGACCCCAGTTTAGTTCAGGAAGGTCAGACAAATTACTCACAGGGGCTGTCATTCCTTCTTCTGTCTGATGCAACAATTGCCCCTTTTCACGGATTCTGGCAATGCTATAGTTGAGTTCCCAGTCATGCTATGCCAATAAGATCCTAGTCTCACCTCACTCTACTCCTGACACTCCTGCCAGATGCATCTGATCTCATCCTTCTCCTGATCAAAACGGTGTCATGAATTCCCTCTCTCAGCCGGAGACTAGAGGAGACTCTCCATAGTTCTTCACTGACTTTTAAGCTACTCTAGTACAAAAAGAGTTGCCAAGTACTAACAATCCAATAAAAAATAGTCACAATCAAAAACTTTGTTACAGATTCTTTCAGTGCCTTTCTGACCTCCTTCTGACATGGTCCTGATGATCACTGCAACCCTGCCATGCTTCTTGTCTCCTGGTGACACCCCACTCTGACTCCACACCTCCTCCTTTCTCTCACTGCTCACCCTCCACATTATGTCTCAGCTTGGAGTCCAAGACTGGACCCACGGTCTCCTCCACATCCTGGGCCTCTGGTGTCCTCATGTCATCTTCTCCACCCGCCTACTCAAGACCCCCACTCCAGTCTAACAAAGCCCCCTCAGCCCCCTAAAACAAGCCAACACTTTCTCACCTCTATGCCCTTCACATGGTTGTCCGCTGACAATGCTCCCTTCTTCCCTCACCTGCTCAGTCAGTTCTGCTCTTTTCAACCTAAATCTTATCCATGTACTTGGTAAAGCCTAGAGACCCAAAGCCCTGTCCCCCTCTTTCAAGCTCCTGGAAACGGTGTTCATTACACTCATCTGGAAATGATCAACTGGGAGGCACACACATAATGTCCTATCTCTCTTCCCCGTTTTCACTTCCTTACAAGCAAGGGCCATGGGTTACATTTTTTTCTATCAGAGTTACTAACGGTGCCTTTATTAGGAGATACTCGATGAATGTTGCTTCAGAGATAAAGCAGTAAACATTTACCAAGTATCTTCTTGTTGAGTTCCCACTGAACACCAAGGAGAGTGAACAGTAGGCACGTGATATATGTCTAAAGACTTTAAATTCAATTTAATAATTAACTACTGAATATCAAGGATAAGAATTTACTGCTCAAGACACTATAGGGAAACAAAAGATGATAAGACACACGCCCTAGCCTCAAGAATTTTTCAGTTTTGAAGAGAGTACTATCTTAAAAACAGAGAGAGAAAAGTTGTATGCAGCTTTTTAAACAGTGTTATTGAAATTCAAAAGCCAGAAAACTCTTAAAGAGTTCAGTAATTCAGAATTCATGGCTGAAAACCAATTACTTATTCCTAGGTTAAAATGTATTATCTTAAGAGCACCAGAACTTCTCTTAGTGAACGTATTATCTTTATTAAGAAATAGGATGTGATAGACTATTTGGTCTGAAACACAGGCTCACAGGTTGGGTTCTGGAGAGAGCAGCTCAAAGGGAAATATTTTCCCTTGTTACAACATTTAAAGGATCTTAGGAAGGAGGGTTTTTCCAAAAAAGGAGAAGGACAGCTCAGCCAAGGGAGTGTTGGTGCCACTCACCCCCAACTGAGCGTGCACATCTTGTCCCAACCCCATGTTCAGTAGTGCCTAGTTGGCAGGCTGAAGTCAACTGCAGTGGGAGCATTTATCCCATGGAAATTGCAAGTGCTACAAACCAAGGCTTTTCAGTTTTTTTTAGAGTGTGTTGTGGAGAATTCACCAGCATGAAATATTCTAAACTCAGAGAGGCCAAATACTCTAAGCTGCAAGCGCCTCCCTAGAGAGTCCATGGTAAAGAGCATGCCTGCCAGTGTAGGAGACGCGGGCTTCATCTCTGGGTCAGGAAGGTTCTCTGGAGAAGGAAACAGCAACCAACTCCAGCATTCTTCCTGGGAAATCCCGTGGACAGAGGAGCCAGGTGGGCTACTGTCCGTGAAGTCACCAAAGAGTCAGACATGACTCAGCAACTAAAAACAACAACAAACTTGCCTTATGTTCCCAATTTTCAGTAAAATCTGATATAGAAATGAAGACCTTAGGTGAATGCAATGTGTGTGTGTGTGTGTGTGTAAAATATGGAATAGGGTTGGATTCCGTATTAGAGATGAGGAAGTGAAGAACAGGGAGCAAATCTGCTGGCTATTGAGAGGATCCAGGTACAAAACAAATTCAACATAAGTGGAAGCCTCTGACAATTGGTGACCAGGGAAAAAAACAGAGAAAAAGAGATGCTTGACATTCTGCACTCTACATGGGGCTCAAGCCAACTACACATGAATCTTGAAGGTAAAGAGCCTCCTGACTTCTATAGGTTACATAATTAGTTGTAATTTAGTATTTGTGAATTTCATCACTTCAACTACCTATGCCATGAAAAACTCTTGTGCACCATGATATACAAAAGATCCTTAGCAAAAACAACTCACAAACTTTGGAAAATGACTAATTAGTCTTCATGAGAAACCAGTCATTCAGAAATGGTGATTTCTGGACTGAATGTTGTTGGGTTAGCCTGTTACCAGGGGCAGCTGTTCCTCACTTAACTGTGGGCCCGAGCATAAAACTGCCCAGAAAATCCCATGGACAGAGGAGCCTGGTGGGCTACAGTCCATGGGGTAGCAGAAGAGTCGGACACGACTTAGGGACTGAACAACAACAAAACAAAGCATCAGATGATTTAAGCTTTCTACCCAGCTCTTTCTTACACTTTGTGATAATGCTGGGTAAGCTTTTTAACATCAGTTCAACACCATGTATTACTATCAGCTTATGATTATGAGTATTAGAACCAAAGAAATTTAAGATGATATCTTCAATAGTTGAAAAATACCAAATGTCTTAAAAGCTTGAAACATACCTTGAGGATTCTTGCTTCCAGATTTTTGACTAGGTCTTGGCAAATTACAGAAACAAAATATTGGTACAATGCAAGGAGAGGCAGAATCTACCAAGAGAAAAACATTCTTTGTTTTGAAACATATGTTATCAAGTTAACAATCCAACAATACAATTTATCCAAATATTAATGCAAGAGATGTACAAAATCATGATTTATTTTTTATATATTAAAAGACTGTACTACTTGGTATAAGTGAAACGATCTGCCTAGCATATGCTTCACGATTTTATCAAACTTCAAAGCGCTATCAGTGACTTATAGTTCCAAGTAGATGCCACCTGGTACTCAAACCTAGGTTTCACATTTCCATAAGCATGGAAAAATAAAACTCAAGTTAATGATCTTTCTTGAAAAAAAATAATTCAACATATATATATGAATTACTGAAGCCTGTGGAAACATTCTAGCAAATAAGCTATCAAATAAATGCAGAATTTAAAACAAATCACATCCATGTCCCCTAATAGCTCCTATTTATTCATCTCAATGTCAATTGCTATTGTCTTCAATTGAAATATCTCTATCAGCAAAAAAAGTATAACATGCCTGTCATATGAATGTCAGACATTGTTGAATGAAGAAAAAATCTAAGTCCTTGCCATCACAGAACATATATTCTACTGCTTAAAACTCAAGCTTACTCTTCACATAATATTTTTATTTTCCTAGAATTAACCCCAAAGTTCAAGTCTTCTTGATGTCCCATAGATGTACGTGAAAGCTTGTGGACTATCAATTTTTCAGTTGACCTAAGCACAATCCAGCTAAAGGCGGGTGCTGAGGGATAGTTTTGCTTGGACTTTTGAACAGCTCCTAACTGCAACTTAAAACTGAAGTTCACTCCATGCAGCTGGGTCCTGCCCCATCAAAGGGAGATGGAGCAAGAATAGGGACTTGGATCCTTATTATTTAGCAAAATATTTCCCATGATTCCACAGCAAGGGGTACCTTGGTAAATTTTACATATTATAGCAATCTCCTTAGGTACTTATAGAAGGTAGTTAATACAAAATGGAAACTGTTTACATCTTGCAAGTTCAGCTAAGGAATCTCTCATTGTCAGTCAACTGGCAGCTGCTAATAACAACAGCTTTTACAGAGGATTAGAACTGGTCTTAAATGATTTCAAACATAACACAGTACATTTTTCTATAATGATGCTCTGCAAACATAACAATACCTTTTTCTACAATTAATGCAGTACAAAACAATAAGAGTTGGCTATCACCTTTGAGATTGAATCTTTTCTTTAGTGAGAAATAAAAACACACCATTTTATTGCTACCAACAGCTCAATTATTCAGAAAAATGTTCTCAATTTCTTAAGCTTCAGAGAAAAAAGTCTCATTTCTTTTCCAATGCAGTGATATGTATTATATATGAATAGGACTAGGCAGCTAAAGGTTACCCAGGGAATAGGTAAAACTATTTTCTAAATCCAGAAATGAATCCCCTTAACAATGAGAGGAACACTGCTTTTGTTATTTTTTTCTAATAAACATTTTTTTTGTGTGCCAAATCTGCCAAGTATTACAAGCATGTATCAACCTTTTCACGTTAACACATGACATTATAATTTAATAACTAATTTCAGGGGACAATAAATCTTTTCAAAACAAGGAGAGAGTTAATTTAGAACAAGAGAACAGAAAACAACGTATGAGAAAAAAATAAGGTAAGTATTAAAATTATAGGGAAAGGGAAAGAAGCAGAAAAAAAGAAAGAACAGATATTAAGAAGCAAACACAGTGGGAAAAGACATACAACAGTAGAGGAAATAGCACAGAGGAAGAAAAAAGAAAAACTAAGATAAAGGAGGAAAACATAATGACCAACAGAAAATACTAATTTATGTCTAAAATGAAATCAACTTCAAATTTATGATTTATGACTTATGAGTTTTTATTTGGGCCTTTTAATTTCTTAGGATATTAGGAAGTGTCTGTCTTTAATTTCATATTTAGAATCTGTTTTTCACTTAGATGTGCCTTTAACATGGAAGAGATGAGACAGATACAAAGATAAGTTTGTCTCAATAAAGAAATACTCCCATATTTTTGATACTGATATTTCTTCATGAAAATAAAGTGAAGTTATAAGTGCACTAGATTTCCGTGTTCCAGACCAGTTAAACATTCTAGTCAATTTCACCATATCTTAAGGGGGGGGGGGGGAATGAAAAATAATAGAGTTAAAAAAAGAGAGAACCAAATCAAATAGACCTGGCTATTGTATCCAAAATGGCATGCAAATAGTGATGTTAAAGAAAGAACATTAATTATTTTATTTTGAAGTATAGATCAGAATCCTGAAAATAAAGTTTAAAAGTTAAACAAGAATTGATCACAAGAGCAATAGTAAAATTTAACCCTGCCAAGTAAAAATTACAATATAGTGGGGTGAATTACAACATAAGTGGGGTGAATTCAGATTTGTTGATTTTGCAAATCACTTACTACTAGATTTTGCTTAGCAAAGTGCAGCTCGCGGATGACGTAATACAGACTCGCAATGACGGAGCAGATGTCAGCCCGGAATCTGTCTGAGAAGAGCTCGATGCCCGGGAGAAGCTGAGTGATTTCATACTGAGCGTAGCAACGCTCAGCTTTAGGATGTGGCAGTGTGGTTCTAAGCAGACCCTAAGTTCAAAAAAGGTGAAATGACCAGCTGGAGCTTGTATTTGGAACAACAAGAAAGATAAGCATTTAAAGGATATAGGGAATAAGTGTATTCCTTCCCAAAGCTCTCTGTGCTGCCTAGCACACTGTACCCTATAATAAAGGGCTGTTTGTTGTTGATCAGTTGCTAAGCAGTGTCCACCACTTTGTGACCCCAAGGACTGCAGCACACCAGGCTTCCCTGTGCTTCACCATCTCCTGGAGTTTGGTCAAACTCAGGTCCATTGTCAGTGATGCCATCCAACCATCTCATCCTGTCACCCTCTTCTCCTCCTGCCCTCAATTTTCCCCAGCATCAGGGCCTTTTCCAATGAGTCAGTTCTTCACAACAGGTGGCCACAATACTGGAGCTTCCAGCTTCAGCTTAAGTCCTTTCAGTGAATATTCAGGGTTGATTTCCTTTAGGATGGACTGGTTTGATCCCCTTGCTATCCAAGGGGCTCTCAAAAGTCTTCTCTAACACCACAGTTTGAAAGTGTCAATGAAAGTTACTTATTTATATTCTTATCACTATAGGTTCCAAATGCTTTATCACTGACAATGGGCCTTTTAAATCCCATGGTAGTTGGATACTTATTATCTTAAGAAGAAATTATCATTAATTTATCATTTGTTGAGAGTTGACTTTGTGTTGGGCACTCAGTTTATTCCTCATAAATATTATCTCATTTCATCCTCACTTAACCCACCCCTAGAAGGAAGACTTATTATCTCACAAGTGATATAATTGAGGCTGAAACAATTTAATTCTCTGAGGTCACCCAGTTAATGCTGGCAAAAAGAATATTCAAAGACGTGTCTATTTGACTCAAAAATCTATGTTTTCTCCATTCTACCAACCTACAAGTAGAGGAAGGAAAAACATACTTCAGAAGTCTAAATCAAGCAGAGGTGATTCTAAATTTTTAACTGAATTAAGTGAAAAGGTAATTGGTTTAATCTGACCAGTATTTCTAAATACATTTATATGACCAACATTGTGCCAGACATTCAGAAACAAGATGAATACACAAAACCAAATTGTACCTTTAGGAGTGCTTCTTATGTTATCTTAAACAATGACATTTCTTGATGACAAATGCATCATCAAATTATTTTAATGCATATATAAGGAATAACTTTAATCAGACTGCTCATTAAACTTATAAGATACCTAGTCTAAAATATTATGTAATTGTTTAATTTTTAGTTTCACAAATTTGCTTTAAATTCATGAAAAGAATGAACAGATTTTTAAAATAAATCCCAGAGCTAATTTTTATTTTAGGTGTCAAATTACTAAGAAATGCTGTCCACATTTAAGCAAAAAAAAATATTTATTTTCTAAAACATAAACAGCATTATCTTCAAGAACGAGGAATATCAGGAGAAAGTAAAGGATGCAACAGAAGAAATCTGATTCGGACTATCATTCCCTCTGCATCCTTGCCTCTTCCACCTCGTCCCTTTGAAGCATTGGCAAGGGGTGTATCAAACATAAGAAAACTAAAAATTCTGGCTATATACTCCAAGAAACCTGTCTCAAAGATCTTATATACCCAGATTTCATAAGCTATCAGACTCTCTGATACACAGAACAAGGGTATTCCATCCTTCAAAGTAAATAGGACCTCTAGGAGATTGCAGAAGCCCCTGGCTACATTCCTGAATCTCAGAATGTCTTTCATTTTGGATAAAAGCCCCTTTCTTCTTCAGTAAAATCAAACTAAGAACTGAAGACACTCTACTTCTGTAGTCTTCAACTTATTTTTGGCTTGCATTATATGGCATATTTTACATCATGCAAATAAGCAAAAGTTTATTTCGAGATGAGGCAGGGCAACCCTTTAGACTCAATCAGACTGGCTTCACTGCTCCATGAAAGAAGGACAGAAGACTCAGTTTCCTCATCTGCAAAACTCCTCATCTATAGTGAACATGAGAAGACTGACTCTGCTGAATACTAAAGGTAAAAATGCCACCGGGGTTCAGTCATCAAAGGAAAGATGGGCGTAGGATATTTAATCAAGGTTCATGTTATTTTCCTAATGTCAGTTTTATGAGTGTAAGAAACCACTGCATTTTAAAATCTTTACTAAGTAAATGGCTGTGCTACTACATAACAATATATATGAAGTGTTACCTGAAAGAGTAATGCTGATAAAAGGCAGCAGTTGGTTCTCTTTCCAACGTCCAATGTCTGAATAAACCTAAGAAAAAGAAACTGACTCAGAGATAATGTTCCAAGAATATTTTTACATAAATACAACTCTAATATTCATAGATCTTAACTCAAAATTAGCCTTTAATTTAATTAAAAGTTAAAATTTTAATTTTTAATTCTAAAAGTGCTACATTCTCATGTAAGATTTAAAACACTGAAAGACAGGAAAAAATAAAATGAAAATTCACCAATAATGCTACCACCTAAACATGATTACCAGTAACATTTCAGTCAATTTCCTTCTAGATTTCCTTCTATATATAATTATACAGATGCATATTCACATTAAGACTGAAATTATGCAATATATATTTTTATAAACAAATTTTCTATTATTGAACATAATCAGTTATATAATTATTTTACAGAACTTTAATATTTTTATCAGACACATGTACCAGAGTATTAAAATATTCATCTTCATTTGTTTTTTTTCAATTGTTGAAACACACATTGTCGTACCTACATTTTTGAGCACTTGTCCTATTACTTCCAGTGGATAAATCCCTAGAAGTGGAATTTTGGGGGAAAGGAGGTGCACAATTTTAAAGTTTTTTGATGAGCACAATTAATTAATTTCTTCTTATAGACTGAAACACTGTATTTCCTCACCAGCAAATTATGGATCCATTTATGATATTAAATCTTTCCACCAAAGATTGAGGTAACTCTGTGTTTATTACTGTCTCATTTTATGTCCCTTAGTAGAGTCTGAGTTTCTTTATACGGGTCTTGAAACTCGCATTTGTGACTATAAACCACATTACCTTCTCCTAAGTCTTATTTTAACACCAGTGGACTTCACTGTATTAATAACACCAGTCTGAGTTCAGCTTCTTTGTGAGGTGCTTTGCCTGCTGAGCGGTGGGAGAGAAAAGTTCCTTCTCCTCAGGGAGTCGCCAAGAATAGCCAAAACCCCTGGGGTACCACAGAGCCTGTGGAAGTCAGACTTCCCGCTGGGCAACCCAGGAAATGACTTTCTGTTGATTGAAAATCACTAGGTAACAACTTCAGAGGCCCAGAGACCTCTGGCTAAGGTGTCCTCAGGCAGGAAAGCTGTAAGCTGTTCTTTTCAAGCTGGGAACCTTTCTCAGCTTTTCTGTTCTCTGCTGCCAAGTGCTACTAAGTTATACACTCAGACTCGTAGGGGGACTCTGTGTGTGTGTGTGTGTGTGTGTGTGTGTGTGAGAGAGAGAGAGAGAGGTGTGTGTGTGTGTGTGTGTGTGTGAAAGGAAGAGTTCCTTCTCAGGAGAGCAAAAGAAAAATCAAACGACAGAGTTTAAAAAAAAAATCTTTGAACGTTTTATACTTTTAAAATGGTAATTCCACACTTCCCGTGCCCAACTGCTAATTCTCTAAAAACAATGTGATCGTGAACTAAGACAAGTTGCTGTTTTTAAAATTTTTCTCTACAGCTCAAACTACTGTGCAGATATTTTGCCTATCATGCCTTATACTGTCAACTACAGAGGTAACGGAAAGCTATACTTCTACTCTCTTTTTTCACATTAAACAAATATTTAAGATATCTGTGAGTCCTAAGCAGACATAAGGCACTGTGATAAGACTTCGACATATGCCATGTGTGGCAGGCTGAAAAATGGCTGCCCAACGATACCAGCATCCTAATTCCCTAAACCTATGCATATGTTGCTCATGTGGCAAAAAAAAAAAGAAGGGAATTCCCTGGTGTCCCACAGTTAGGACTCTACGCTTTCATTGCTGAGAGCCAGGGTTCAATCTATGATCTGGTCGGGAAACTAAGTTCCTTCCAGTTATATGATGCAGTGGAAAAAAAAAAAAAAAACCTGCAGATGTTATTAAATTAAGGGCCCTGAGACGGGAGGGAAAGTTCTACTAAATTATCCACGTGGGTTCAGTGTAATCACCATGGTCCTTTAACAGAAAGATAGGAGGGTCAGAGTCAGAGAAGATGTGAGGATAGAAGCATACTGACAGAAAGGAAGATGAAAGTCTGTGGGTCCTGAAGACAGAAAATGAAGAATGCAGGAGGCCTCAGGAAGATGAGACAGGCAACAACAGATTTACCCCCAGAACCTCTGGAGGAAGCTCAGCCCTGCCAACACTTGGATTTTACGACCTCTGCCCTCCATAACCATAAGACAATAAATCAGTATTGTTTCAGGCCACTGAACTTTGTGGAATTTGCTGCACCATCAAGAGGAAACTAATACAGTCTGTGTATGGGCTTGATTCTATGCCCCACTGGGTCTTCCCTGGTGGCTCAGTGGTAAAGGATCTGCCTGCCAACGCAGGAGACCCGTGTTCAATCCCCAGAGCAGGAAGATCCCCTGGGGAAGGAAGTAGCAACCCACTCCAGTATTCTTGCTGGGAAATCCCACGGACAGGGAAGCCTGGCAGGCTACAGTCCATGGCATCGCAAGGAGTCAGACTGACTGAGCCACTGACACATAAGACCCTCTGCTCACCCAAATTTCCGAAGTTGAAATCCTAACCCCTAGTAACCTCAGAATGTGACTAAGAAATGGGGTCTTTAAAGAAGTGATCAGGTTGAAACGAAGTCATTAGGGTGGGCCGTCACCCCATACGAGAGGTGTCCTCACAGGAGGAGGAGCTTAGCACACACACACCCAGAAAGGAAGACCCTGTGAGAAGAGGCTGAGAGGAGTCACCTACGAGCAGGAGAGGGGCCTCGGGAGAAGCCACCCTGGCAACCGCTCAATCTCAGATGCCAAGACTCCAAGACTGTGAGACCGCAAGCTCTCACACAATGGTGTTCTGTACTAGCAAATGAATACGGTATGTCATGTAATTTCTGTCACCATGGTTTACAGATGAGAATAGTGAGGCTCAGAGAAGATGAGTAACTTGCTGGGGGGCTCCCAGAATTATTAGAAGGCTCTTAAATTAAGCCTTAGTTGGCCTGCCTCCACGCTGTTATTCTTGCTCACCTACCAACTGTTCATCCACTCAGTCATTCGTTCAACAAACAGTTACAGAATGCCATCTCCATGCTGGGCAGTTGGGATACAGTGGTGAACAAAGCAAAGACCTGTGCCCATGCTGTGCTCACATACCAGAGGTGGCCAGGTTACAGGAAGAGGAGACGGACTTGAACAAGCAACAGCACAAACAAGTGAAGTGTATAAGAGGCCACAGGACATGAAAGGAGCTGCCCCAGAACCCCGTGTGTGGGAGGCACCCTACGTGGCCCGGGGTGGGGGGGTGGCCCACCAAGGAAGGCCCCAGGCCCCACACAGATGGCTCCAGCGTCATACGCACTGTGCTATCTTTGCTGATATCACCGCTCCCTGCAAACACCCCCAGATGCCGCCTTTGGACAGGAGCTCCTCACTGTAGTCTTTGGAACCTGGAGGTGACCGGCCATCAGTGGCATTGGTGAGCGAGCTGCCAAGCTCCTTCCATGTATGGAGCACATCTTCTTTTCTGAAAATATTATCCAGAGCTTGACTCCAACACTTAAAAGCAGCCCTGAAACAGAAATGCGGCATCAGGCAGCATGAGATCTGTGTTGTTAAATCTATGTTTCAAAAAGGAAAGAAAATGCATTGAATAAACATTTTCATCAAAATGTTAGAGAATGGATCTGTGCCATTTATTGCTCATAACCATTTCTCTCCAGTAGTATTTGATGACTAAAACACAGCAATGGAATATTATCCAAGAACTAAAATTTATGAAACATGGTGCTTTTTTTCACAATAGTTAAAACATTTTTCAGGTGACCAGAGTTCTCCTGGTTTTACTAGTCAGTAAATAAGCTACCTTTTCTTTTGTGCGAAGATGAGAAGATTTCCAAGTTCATGCAATGCCTGCACATTAAGACTTCTTTGATTGCTGGTTTGAAGAACATCTGTATTTTTAATCAAGTGAAAGAACAAATGTCAGTCCCTGTAAAATATTTCCTTTATATATGCAAGAATATTTTAAATTGCTTTATACCTTGACTGTGTAGATAAGCAAACTTCACATTAATAGACCCTCTAAATGTCACATGAAATAGCTATAGAGAACAAATGATGTTCTGTTTGAATGTTAGGAGTAGGAAAGTGGATCTAAGAGGGAGGAAACAAGATTGGATGTAGCAGGTAGGAAACATGAATAAAGCAGACAGAGTAAGAGTGAGGCAGGTCAAGATGGTGAAGGAGAAAGAGTCCAGAAAAAGCATAGCAGGGAGACCGGACTGGGTATAAAACACAGAAATGTCACATGTGTCCAGAATGCGGTTTTGGGGGAGTCTGGAGAAGCAGTAGTGGTGAGGTTACTGAGGCATCTGAATGCCAAGGGGAAAATGCGAACACTGCCTTACAGCAGATGGGAAGGCCTGAATGGTTTGATTTGGGTCAGAGATGTGACGAGAGTGCAGCATATCAGAGTCTTCCCTCACCCAAATGCAAAAAAGCACAGCTTTACTATCACCTGAATTTGTTGTTGCTTTCTGAGGAATGCATGCATTCCAGGATGTGCAGCCAAAAAAAAAAAAAACCCATCTAACATGGCACTGGTTCCTAGTGAGGGCAGCACCATAGGCTAGTGGGTATTTTAGAAATCTGAGGAAGGGGGGTGTTACTTGTCACAACGGGGCAACTGCTAGTGTTTCCTCAATGAGGAACTGGCACTGGGGGGCCTGCAACGTACAGAACCTTCCCCCACAGGGAGGAAAAAGATGAGAAACCTGTAGATAATTATCTGAGTCCAACATCTAACTTCATTTTATACACAGAAAGGGTATTTTTGCATGTTTTCGAAATGTGCAGTTTTCCAGAAATGCAATCCCTGTAATATTTTGTTTTTGTTCAGAATACCCTACATTTGCCATTTTAGAACATCCTGGCACCAAAATTAACAGTGCTAATAGTACCTGAGTCACCAGTATAATATGCTTGTCTCAGTCTGCGTTTGCAGCTGCCACATTCCCATGCACCCTGCATGCCGTGCGCACCATGTCCGAGCATCTGGACGCATCTCTGTGTCCCCAGCGCCTAAGCTCTTGCTGTGACTGTTGTCTTTTAGCCGCTCAGTCGTGACTGACTCTGCAGCTCCACGGACTGCAGCCCACCAGCCTTCTCTGTCCATGTAATTCTCCAGGCAAGGAGACTGCAGTGGGTTACCATGTCCTTCTCCAGGGGATCTTCCCAACCCAGGGACTGAACCCATATCTCCTGCATTGGCAGGCAGGTTCTTTATCACTGGGCCACCTGGGAAGCCCACCTAAGCTCTTACATATTAACAAATAGATTCTTTTATTAAAAAGTGATTTCATTTCATTTACCCTTCAATTTATATTTAGAACTTCATATTTATTTTTTTAAATAATGTGTATAGGCAGAGTATAATAATACAAAGTTTATTTCATGCACTAAAGGGGGAATATTTTCTGTTATAAAAAAGGGGAACATTGGGTCTACAACATGTTGAATTTATACTGCTGAATTTGTAGAAAAGCCAAATCAAGTGGAAAGACCAGGAAAATGGAACCAGCCAGGGCAAAGCAAAAGCACATAACAGTGGCCACATCTCAACAAATGGGTCACAGATTCAGTTAAAATGGGATAAGTGGGAGGGCACCTAGAATCTCGCAATGGTAACAGCTAGGCTGGAGAGACGGTCACGGGAGGGGGTTGGCAGCGGCCTGTCTCCTCATTGCTCTGTTACTGCCTACAAGGGTGTGATGAATAGACTCTACATTCAAGCTCTTTCATCACACTTCTACAGATGATATTTCAGTTACTGTACAGCACAGGGAACTATATTCAATATCTTGTAATAACCTATAATGTAGAATAATCTGAAAATATATTCACATATATATAACCAAATCACTTTGCCATACAGATGAAACTAACACAATATTGTAAATCAACTATACGTCAATAAAAAATATATTAAAAAAGGTATCATTTCAAGACCAAATGCAATCTCAACATTAATGTGGCATATCATATTGAAAATGAATATATGATGAATAAACCTTACTAATAGTTTCATAATAAGAAGAAATCACGAGTCCGAGCTGTGAGGAGGGAAGCCTGCTCTTCTCCACTGAGCTGAAGACTCGGAAGTGCTCCTGAGAAAGGTCGGGGGGCGTCGGCATGTGCATCTCTTCCATCCCCAGGGAGAACTCCACCTTCCCAGGAGCAAATTTCAAATTGTTCACGCCTCCTTTGTCTCCTAAATTCATGGGAAAATTTAAAAAGAAGCTTACAAGTGGAGAAAGAAGGGAAGCTTATGAGGAGGGAAAAACTAGGAGAAATAGAAAGGGAGAAGGAAGGGCTCACACAGAGCTGAGCCTCATTTACAGATCGAGGGGCTCTGGTGCCTCCTGAAGAGCCTTCTGAGGGTCTGCGTGCATCAGCATGCTCTACACTCGCGTCAGAAGGAATAGGACGGAGGGCAGTTTGCTGGAAAGCAAAGTTTGAGATAATGCTTTGCTCCTCCTGGGGATCGGGGCAGGGGGCAGAGGGGGTGAAGTTGCACAGTTTGAGTTTACTTTTTTAAAAGCGTTTCCAACAGTAAGATGTTAGTTTGCCTCTGGGGCAGAGACCTCTGGGATAGGCGCAACATACAGGTAGTTCTGACCTAAGGGGAAAGAACTAGGAAAGAATCTGTGTCTGTGTAAGGTCAGAGAACACACAGGGAAAAGAAAGGGAAAAATATTCTAGGGGAAGGAGTTAAAAACCTGAGGGAGAGAGAAGCTAAAATGGATTTAGGTCTGTAGCCAAGGACTGGAGGTAAACTTCTGAGGGCATCTTAGTATTAATACCAGGTGAAATTCAGAATGCAGTGGTGTAAACCATCCCTAGGAACTGTATCTACTTTTTTCAATCCACGGCCTTCACCACTGTGAACGTGCACCGTAACCAAAGGAGCTTAAACACGACATGCTGTGCTTAGTCGCTCAGCTATGCCCCACTTTTTGAGACCCACGGACTACAGCCCAGCAGGCTTCTCTGTCCATAGATACTCTCCAGGCGAGAACACTGGAGTGGGTTGCCATGCCCTCCTCCAGGGGACCTTTCAAACCCAGGGATCAAACTGAGGTCCCCCGCATTACAGGTGGATTCTTTACCATCTGAGCCACAGGGAAGCTCAAAAACATGATATGGCGGGCTAATTTAATGTAAAGTGTGTCTGTNAGGCGAGGGTGGGATGTTCTGAGAGAACAGCACTGAAACATGTATATTATCAAGGGTGAAACAGATCACCAGCCCAGGTTGGATGCATGAGACAAGTGCTCGGGGCTGGTGCACTGGGAAGACCCAGAGGGATGGGACGGAGAGGGAGGCGGGAGGGGGGATCGGGTTGGGGAACACATGTAAATCCATGGCTGATTCATGTAAATGTATGGCAAAAACCACTACAATATTGTAAAGTAATTAGCCTTCAACTAATAAAAAAATATATATCAGTTCAGAGAATATTAGCATCTTAGATGTTAACTTTAAATCTATTATTAATAACTTTAAAATACAATTATTTTAAGTTTATTAAAATTAATTTTATTATTCTGATAAATTTGAACAGTAAGGATTATAACCATAAATTAGGATTTTAGATTACCTAAATGTAGGTAATTTGGGATTTCTTAACCTACATTTGAGTATCCTTTTTCTCTCTGAGGTTAACCACTTGAAGCCCTGCTTTGACTGAGTTTACAAATCAATAGATTTTGAAAAGGGAGAATACAAGTGTAAAGTAACCAAACATAATGAATATCTTTTTTAAAAAAGCCAAGATAAAAATCTATGGTATTAATAAGGAATTTTACTGGTGTGTATATTAAAATGCATCTATTTGTTTGACATTGATAAAGTAGTGCTTTGGTAAAAGACTGTAGTTAATTCTGTACGAATCAATTCATCTACTTATGAAAATAAAATAAGACTATAGCACCATACTTGCAAAGCAAATAGTAAGGACGCAGAGGTACGGAATCAAACATTAACACTGCTTTCCTATTTACCCCGCTCAAGGGAGTATACTCAGAAGGCATAAAAGCAGATGAGTGCTTTGGTTGGAATCAAGTGTGGGAAACAGAGATGTGATCCACTGGACAAGAAGAAAAAAGTGAAAGGCAGCTGAAAGCAGGCATGCAAGTGGGGGAAGGAGGAATCTACTGCAGAACATGGTAGACCCACAGGGTGGTACCCTGTGGAAATAAAGAGATAGGAACACAGAGCAAGCACAGTCAGCCTCTGTTTCTGGAGATGCGGAGCCATGGATACTAGGTGGGGGGAGCTGACTGTAAGGGACATGTGCCTCCACGGATTTTGGTATCCACAGGGGGTCCCAGAACCCATTCCCCGCAGGTGCACAGGAGCGACTAATGACTGTACTTCACCTTGTGTCTGTGCGAGAAATAATGAAAGCAACTTTCTGCTGTGGCGGATTGATCTGTTGTGATATTTGGATTTTTCCAAGGTCTCTCTAAAACATCTCAGAGTGTCTGTCACGTCCACAGGCACGCAGAGGAGCTCTTTGGCTCTGCTGTATTCTGAAAGGAAAGGGAAGAGTGACGTTAGAAATGAAATGTTGCAGCAAGCCAAGGAGAAGCAAAAGCCTTTCTAATTCAGAGAATTTCTTGAGCCCAAGCTAAAGCTGCTAAATTCAAAGCCCTCAGGTCTGTAGCAGGTGTTTCAATGTTCAGATCAATTTTTTTTCCTTGTTTTATTTGACAGTTCTTTTTTTAAAAAAGGAAAAAAACTTGGAAAACTTTTGATTCGTATGAAATGCAAATAACTTTAGATCTTGCCAATTTTCCTTATGAAGCCTCCTACTTTTTCCTTTGCTGATCATAAAAGATGAAATAATCTGCTCCTTTTCAGCAGCCTCTTCAAAGCCAAGGTGCCTTGGGAAAGAGACGAAAGGAGGAAACAAAGAAGCTTGGAGATGGGCAACTGCTCTCTCAAGAGAAGGAAAAGACAGCTTTCTAACATTGGAGAAAGCAGAGGAAAAGAAGATGAAGCCATAAACAGGTGTGGAACTGAAAAGCCATCCTGAAAAGTGGCCAGAAGGGCAGATGTTGGCAGAGTTGCTGTGAGGTCTCTGGAGAGGAAGTGACAGACCCATGAATTAGGCTGCAGACCAGCTGCATACGCCATGAAGCAAGCACATGGGAGAGAGGACACACGGGCTTCAGACTGAACGACAAACAGATTTACCCCTTCAACAGGTCAAATAACCCCTGTCAAATCTGAAGTCGTGAGAGTCCAGCAACTTGCTAGGGAACAGGGCTATAACAGTTTAAGAGGCATGACCTTTGCCCTCAAGAAATCCACCCTTCGTGAGGGTCTGGGGACAGGCCAAAAGGACGGAGAGAAAGAAGAGAGAGCAGTGCAGGAAGGAAAGGATGAGCAGAAACAGTGCTTGGGGGAAAGACATGGCAGCTGAGTCTTAGAGAACAGGGGAGATTATCAGGAAGTAAGGGAAGGGGTCTCAGACAGAATGAGTAGAGCTGAATCTGGGGTCCCTGGAGGCCCACTGGTTAAGACTTCCCCTTCCAATGCAGGGGCTGGGAGCTCAATCCTTGATCAGGGAACTAAGAGTCCACATGCCAAAAAGCCAAAACTTGAAACAGAAGGATTATTGCAACAAATTCAATAAAGACTTTAAAAATGGTCCACATCGAAAAAATCTTAAAAAAAAAAGAATAGCTGAATCTAATTAAGTGTTTTTACTATACCAGTAACTATTCTAAATAAACACTGTGACAGTCTCATTGAATTCTAGCAACACTCATAAGAGGCATGTCCCATTATATCCTCCTTTTACAGATAAGGAGAATCAGGCATAGAGAAGTCTCAGCGTCCCTTGGGTCACAGAACCAGCTTGCACAGGAGAGGGTGGAATCAGGATTAAAGTGGCAATGCAAGGCACAGTGAGATGACACAGCCAGTCCTTCTGAACCAAGAAGGGTTTCCAGAGGCCTAAAGCCCTCACTGCGTATGTGGCCTTCATCCTCTTTAATGGACAGCCAAGAGAGCGTTTTGAGTAAGACCCCGGCAGAAAGAGATTCATATTTTAGGAAACGTGAGCCAGCAGTTGTATGCACAGCAGGCTGCAATAGAAAGAGGGTGATGGCTGAGAGGTTGTGAGGTTACAACACCAACATAGTATGATTTGAACTTGATTAAGGCGGGAGCAGTGGGAACGAGGGAGGGACACGGGGGAAATCCCAATGGCAGAAGTGACTGGAGAATGGTTAACTGGCTACTAGGTGAAGAAAAAAAACAGGAGTGGAAATTGCCTCTTATCCGCCTTATAGGGCTGATGACCTTGCTTCCTACCTCAATGGGAATAAACGGCAGGACCCCAAATGCATTTCCTGCAAGCCCCTGCCCCGAGACCCACACAGCTCCCAGTCCCCCTGCCATCTGCACTGCTAGGTCATCACTCTAGCAATTCTCCTCTCTCCTCCAAGGCACCAGTTTTTCCCTCTGCTGAGTCAACATTCCGTTTTGCTTTTTTTTCTATTTTTAAAAATTATCAAAAATTTTGTGTTCATTGCAGCATTAGTTACAATAGCCAGGACATGGAAACAACTTAGGGGTCCATCAACAAATGAATGGATAGAGAGAATGTAGTATTTACCCAGTGGAATATTATTCAGAGCCATAAAAAAGAAAGAAACCCTGCCATTTGTGACAACATAGATGAGCCCGGATCAGACAGACAAAGGCAAACAGTGAATGATCTCACATACATTTGGAATCTAAAAAAACTGAACTCAAACAAACAGAGAAGAGACTGGTGGTTGCCAAAGGCAGAGTTGTGGGGTGGTGGGCAAAACGGGTGACGGCGACCCAAAGGTACAAATGTCAATTAAAAGACAAATAAGTTCTGAAACTATAAAGTATAGCACAGAGACTATATCTAAATTTCTAAAAAAAAATTTTAAATGCTTTCTCTGGACCCTTCTTTCCCTTCAAGCCACCATCCTAACTCTCTGCTCCATTTTATAATAAAAGTCCTCAAAAAGCTCTATTTTCATTGTTCCCCATTCTCTCTTAAAACTGCTTAAAGCAGAATTTCCCCCCATTATTTCACCCCAAGGATCTTCACTAAAATAAATCTAGTGTTCAATTTTTAGGCTTTATCTCACAAATTTTCAACAACATTTAACCTGGTTGCTAACTCCTTCCTCCTTGTAATACCTTCTTCACTTGGCTTACAGGTCCTTTACTGACCCCTCCTTCTTAGCCTTCTTTGCTAATGCATCCTTGTCAACCCAAACTCTTAATATTTGAAAATCCTAAGGCACAACCCTTAGACTGCCTCTCTTTTCTTCTTAACTAACATTTGAGACAGGCTGGAACCTGGGGCCCTTTACTGGAATACTTGCATCTGGACAAACGTCTCCTCCAGCAATAGAATACAAAGAAACTATAAGGGACTAAAAACAACTGTGCGCATGCACAGTTGGGGCAAATCATGAACAATAAGATACACAAAGGCCAAAACACATCTGCCATCTCTGGGGCCTGAAGCAAAAGCAGGGTACTGCGCACAGCACCACCAGGGGCACGGGGAGACAGCCTCAGTGATTCCCCTGCCAGCACGCTGACCTGATCTCACACCCAATTTAAGAAACTAGCTCCCCTGTCAGTAGGAGACTGAGGAAGGGAACCTATTACTTCTCATTCCTTTGTGCTGTAGCATAAGTCCCAGTGAAGCCTTGCCGGAATTTCATCCTGTCCCTTATCAATCTCTATTGATTAAAGAGTCCAAGAACCCAATTCAGTAACACATTCACACCCTTGATGATCTCATCTAGTTGCATGGGTCTAAGTATCTACATGCTGGTGGCTCCCAAATTTCTATCTCTGGCCCCATCTCTCTTGAAGTCCAGGCTCATTTATCCACTGGTCTCCTCTGCTGGGCATTTAATGGACATCTCACACTTAGCATGTTCCCAACTGATTTCCTAATCTTTCCTCCCTAAACCTACTCCTTTAATAGTCTTTCCTCATCTTATTAAAGAGTGGTTCTATTTTTCCAGTTGCTCAGACCACAAGCTGGCATCATCCTTGACTTGTTATTTCATCTCAAGCTCCAAGTCAAATTCACAACAAACCTGGAGGCTCCGCATTCAGAAAATGTCTGGAGCGCCACCATCTCTCTCCAGATCTACTCACCACTTCCATTCCATTGTGTTCTAAGACCTATCATCTCTTTCTGAGTCACTCCGACCACCCCCTAACCAGTCTCCCCATCTCTACCCTTGCCATTCTCAACAAAAGAACCAGATGACCCCTTTTAAAAGATAAGCTATCCCTTTTAAAATATAAGTTATCTCATGTCACACCCCTGTCCAAGACTCCCCCATCACCTAGAGCATACATCAGTGTCCTTGGAGTGACCTCTAAGGCCCACCAAGAAGAGGTTCCCCGTGACCTTACTTTTTTCCCCCTTACTCCCTCCCACATTGGCACCCTTCCACCCAAGCGTCTTGGCACCAGTGGTTCACTTTGTCCTAGAACGTTCTGCCCTCAGATATCCCCAGGTCTGATTCCTCAGCTTCTCAAGCTTATGACTTAACTGTTAACTCCTCAGTGAGGCCTTCTTTGATCACTCTCAAAATTGTTGCAAGTTTTCTTTTCTTCTCAGCACCCATTAGCTTCTGATCTGTTACGGGTTTTACTTATTTATTGATTGTCTCTGACCACTAAAATGCAAGTTCTGTGAGAGCAGAGACTTTTGCCCATTTTATCCACTGAATTCACCCCTGGCCTATAACTGTACCTATTACATGGTATGTGCTCAATAAATATTCATTACATGAATGAACAACAACAGTTTTCAAAGCTAAATGCTTGGGACAAACTTTATTAATAATCACTTCCATAGGCCTTGATCTCAATTTATTGTCACAGTATCTTACAACTAGTGGAGATAAATGTCACTCATACTTTACAAAGGAGGAAAAGTGAATTTGAGGGACATCCACTTGTCTTAACTGGAGAACGAAAAGGCAACCCAACTCCAGTATTCTTTCTTGGGAAATCCCATGGACAGAGGAGCCTGGTGGGCTATAGTCCATGGGGTCACAAAGAGTCAAACATGATTTGTTTTAAACATGACACTTGTTTTAATCTCTTACAAGACATAAGAGAGAGAACCAGGGTTTTAGTCTGACACTTTTCCCAAATAGTTTCCCAAACAGTGTCAGATTTGGGGAACAGGCAATGATCCTAATTTAAGGCCTGCTAATGTTGGCACAAAGATACTTTGAGAATAATACAGATTAAGTCTGGGGTCCTTGTAAGCCCAGTGAAGTCTTGGTGAAATTAATAACATGGGGTCACATTCAACAGCCATGGAGACACATCTTTCATTACACCTTGATGGCTAGAAACCCTGGAGGCTCTGGTCAAACCAGGAACATGGCCACGTTGAGAGGTGCATCTGTGCCCCCAGTAAGTTCACTCATGACACACTTCCCTCTCACACATTTAAGAGGATCAGTAATGAGGCCCAGGTCACACTCTTCTCCTG